GTACTTACTTAAGAGGCACTTAGTCCTCAACATGAAGAAAACTGCAGCGGAAAAATAAAATCTAGCGAAGCTCCGGCTCCACTCCCACAGGCAGCTCAACTGGGGTATAAGCCAAACGTCTTCTCCTTCTGGATCCTTTTTCTTCAACTGAGGTTGATTGATTATTGCAAGAATGAGCATATGACATACTCAACAAGCCACACAGCAAATATGCAAGTGCACAAGGATACCAAAGGATGGCATAATATAGGCTCATTTGCAAAAGCAACGTTTAGCAAAATATTTAAGAGAAATAAAACAGTAGAGTAGTTAATCAGAAATTTTAATCAACACTGAACAGCACACCCATGCTGCACAGGCGCGACCATCCTGAACAACCATACCCGGCTGTACAGATCTAATCTCCAAACCAGGAATTATCCATTCCAAACCAGGAGCTAAGCAAATTATTACCATGTATAACATCTATAAATATTGTGAGAGGTGTGAGACTAATCACGAAAAACATTGCTCAACTCGCCCATAACCGCGGGCACGGCTATTCGAATAGTTTTACTCTGGCCAGAGGTGTACCACTGTACCCACAAGACACAGCCTCAACATCATGTCTACCATGCGTCGCGATACTGGAAAGTACCCGAATAGAGGCTGTGACAATACCCTTTGCACAACACAACTCACCACAGTGCACCATTCCTGGATCATAATCACCCCCTTATAAAACAAGGCATGGACTCCCCAGCGACCCCCGTGGGCTTATCTCCGCCACTTCTCAGTCTGGTGCTCCGCAATGAATCATGTTATACAAAAGGTAAAGCCGTTGCCCACGCTGGCTTGTGGTTGGCACGGTTAATGTTTCACAACAGTAGCTCGCGAACCGGTCCTTAATTGTCATGAGCACGACTCTCAAAACCATGTGCTCACAACCCACCATTATCAAGTTTTAGTTGGCAAGTAATTAATTAACCAATCACGATTGACCATCGTGAACTACCATTAAATATAACCATAAGTGATAGTGAAACATTAGTTATCCCAATTGTGTGCTAATGTTTCTAAGCATGGCTAAGCAATTATATCTAGTATCTAGTTGAACCAATATATTTAAAGCTCAACTAGTCCAATTATAATCACCCAAGGTATCAAGGAATAAAGTAATCAAGAACAAAAGGGCCATAACAAAGAATAGGTTAACACCACCCAGTGACATTCGAAAATAAATGCACAGTTGAAATAAATAGAGAATTTAAATATAGGATCAACATGCTCAAAGGATTGTGTTTAGGATCTGTGTGACTTGCCTTGCAATAATCGGTCTTCAATTAATCTTCTTGAATACTTCCGGCGCACTCGCGAACCTTCACAACGACGGAAACGACAAGCTAACACGCAAAACGAAGAAAAAGACTAATAAAAACCAAATAAACAATACATAAAAAGTAAACAAACATGTAGATCATAATTTTAGATGAATTATGAGACTTGAACGGCCTCATTCTGACTTCAAATGAATTTATTATGAATTTTAAAAGATTAAATCTAATTAAAGCCCATTTAAAAAGAATTAAATAAATTTAATTCAATTTATGGACAATTTTAATATGTAGATCTTTATTTTACACAACTTTTGCAACTTGAACCACATTAAACTGAGTTCAAATGAATTAGTTATGAATTTTTAAAGATTAAATCGGATTAAAACCTTTATATGGATTTTAATTGAATTATGACGCAATAATGAATTATTTTTGAAAAGGAAAAGAAGGATTATTGCGTCAGCGGCTAGGGTTTGCGGTGGACCGGGTGCACGGCGGCGGTTCACGCGAACGGACGGCCGAGATCAACCCAACCAAAACGGACGGCCGAGATCGATCGGTCCACGACCGGCTCACGGGAGAGGGCGACGATGACGTCAGCGACGACGTCACCTCCGGCGGCGGCGGCTCGGCGGCTCGGACGGCTCGGACGGCGCACGCTCGCCGGCGAACGGCGGCTCTATGGCATAAACGGAGGGCACCAAGACGTAGAGGGCGACGCGGCGAACTTACCGGTGACCAAAACCACGGTGGAAGAGCAACGGACGGCGCCGGCGACAAGGAAGAAGCGGCGGCGGAGATCGGGTCGACGGCGGCGACGGTGCTCCGGCGGTCTTCGGCGGCGGCGAAGCGGCGGACGAGGACGGCGACGACCTTGCGAACCCGATGGAGGCGACGGCGACCGACGACGGCGGCTGCAACGGTGGCGCGACGCGGCTGAACCGACGGCAACGACGGCGGCGACTAGGGCTACGCGGAGGCGGCGCTAGACGCGACGGCAGGCGAAGGCGAGAGAGGCGGCGGATAGAGGAGAGCTCGGGGGTCCTTATAAAGGGGCTAGGAGGCGGCGGCAAAGGCCCACGGCGGCCGGCGACGAGATGGAAACTTTGGGGTTCGGAGGAAAGAGGCCGATCCGAATCGAACTCGATTCCACGAACTTCCAAAACGAATTAGCCGATGTTTCCCAAAGAGAAAAGGTAGAGGAGATCCCGAGGATCATTTCCCCTCTATCAATTCGACCGGAGAAGGAAAGACGCGGCCGAATTGGAAAGCGGCGGCGGAGCGGCTCGGCTAGGGTTTCGGGCGGCGGCGGCGGCGCGAGGAGGAAGACAAGACTGACAGGTGGGGCCAACCTGTCAGCGACTGAGAGAGAGAGGGGAGCGGCGGCTCGGCGAACTGGGCCGAACTGGGCCGAGGGAGAGAGAGAAGAGAGAGAAGAGAGGTTTTGGGCCGACTTTCGGCCCAAAGCCAAAAGAAGATTTTTAAAACCTTTTTCAATTTAAATTATTTCTTAAATGCAATTCCATTTATTAAAAATACTTCCTTAGCTCAAATAAATCCCAGAAAAATCTAGGAATTATAGAATTAAGCAAAGTATTTAACAAAATTTTATCTAGCCCAATTTTATATTGAGATTTAACACATTAAAATTAGATATTCTCTTTTAAGCTTTTAAAATCATTTCTAATAATTCCTTTTAAACAACAATTTATAATTTAAGGATTTTAAACAAGAAAAGCACTTAACAATTATAATTAGATCATTAATGATCAAATAATTACTGAACTGTTCTTTGTATCATTTAGGAATTGAGCTCTGAAAAATCTGAGAAAATTTCAGAGAGTTGACTTAATCATGGAGAATTTAATAAAAATTAAATCCATCCATGCTTTATATTTAGGAAATTTTATTTCCCACATTTAACTTCACTTGTAAATTAAAGAACATTTAATATAAATTCTATTATTAATTTATTAAATAATTTATAAACCCTGGAACAAAAATCAGGATGTGACAAGTTGTGATAATTTTTAGGAACGCCTATTCACTCCCCCCCCCCCTCTTGGCAACATCAAGGTCCTTTCAGATAAGATGCCAGCCGATGCGCAGTCCGACTTAAAATCCAACTTGATCCCGCTCCAAATCCGTTTTGATCTTCCTTCTTCTTCTCCAAATCTGATGCAAAATTCCATTGTTAACACTCATGGCCGGCACTGTCAGCGGGGCCGGGGGAGGTAGCGATGGCAACGGTGTCGGCTCCGACACGCGTGGCGCTTGGGCGGTGCGCCGGCAGAGCACGGTAGGGTGGCAACGGGGGCGGCAGCAATCCCGCGCCGGCGCTAGCGCGGGGCAAGCGTGGCGGCGGCGCTGAGGTGAAGGAAACAATGGAGGGGATGAAGGGAGGTTTCAGGATGGGGGGGTTAGTGTGGAACGTTTTACAAAAAACCCCTAATAGTTTACATGTTTACAACGCTACCCCTAGAAGCGGAATTTTTTCTTCTTCACGTTATATTTTTCTAGAAGACAATGGGGTTATACATAATAAATACAATGGGGTGTCCGGCGGTCCGAGGACGTATGTGATATTCTGTGCAAACAAGAGGAGCTTTTTTGAAAAAAGAGCCCAACACATGAAAAAAATTCGAAAAACACAACAGTCTGGAAGCGGAAATGCTACTGGACGAGCGATCACCTAGAGCGATCAGATCCGATCCCCCTCCTCCTCTATGTGGGTTCCTTTTTTGGCACCGCATTACTTTCCTATTTTAGTAAATTTATACACCTAAAGTTTGTACACCTCAAGTTTACACATATAAAGTTTATACACCTAAAGTTTAGAGACCCAAAGTTTATAAGTCAAAAGTTTATATATCCGATTCAAATTTGAATTTGAATCCAAATATTTTTTATATATAGTATTTCTATACATCTAAAGTTTATACACCTAAAATTTATCGACCCAAAGTTTATAATTCAAAAGTTTATATACCCGATTCAAATTTGAATTTGAATTATATCCGATTCAAATTTGAATTTGAATTCAAATATTTTTTATATATAGTATTTCTATAGATCTAAAGTTTATACACCTAAAGTTTATAGACCCAAAGTTTATAATTCAAAAGTTTATATACCTGATTCAAATTTGAATTTGAATTATATCCGATTCAAATTTGAATTTGAATTCAAATATTTTTTATATATAGTATTTCTATACATCTAAATTTTATACATAAAAAGTTTATAGACCCAAAGTTTATAAGTCAAAAGTTTACATACCCGATTCAAATTTGAATTTGAATTCAAATATTAGTTTATAGACCCAAAGTTTATAAGTCATACCCATTTCAAATTAGAATTTAAATTCAAATATTTTTATATATAGTATTTTCTATACATAAATTTTTTTAACTTTGTTTTTTTATTTTTTAAAAAATTTATGGTGTAGTAGGAAAAGAAGAAAGGGAGGAGCAAGGAAGAGAGTAGACTACAGAGGGGAGGGGAGGGGGGGTGATTGATCACCCGCCCATTGGCACCCCCGTCTGGAAGACGATGGGGTTATACGTAATAAATATTCCGGCGGTCCAAGGACGTAGGAGATATTCCATACAAAGAGGGGCTTTTTTAAAAAAAAAGCAAAAAAAAGCCCAACAAGCGTAAACTTCTCCAAGGAGACCAAAAAAATTCCGAAAAATGCAACGGTTTCAACTGTTAATAGCTAGTTATGGGCATTAATTAGATTTCACCCACAGCTGTCACACAAGATAGATAATTGTAGAACACCCCACAAGAATATCAGATTTTTAGCGATCTATTTTCTTCATCATTCACCAGGAGTTAATTCTTTCTGGACAAAACAGAAAATATGCCATCTCGGTCGATTTTACATGATCAGGTCTTCAAGGTGGCAGACAATGTGAATATGCATCCAACCAACACGGCAATCAGTAGTACTACAAACGCCATTAGAATGCTGAAACTGCTGCCATGCGTCTTCCTCGAACCATTCTGTCCAGAGTTCATCTCTTTCAGACCAGGCTCTGAAGGCGCTTTTGACAAAGCTCCAGGTACCACATCCCAAAACGATCCTAGCGTGGCAGCCGATGCACTTTCTGGTTCTACGATTGAATAGTTTCCCATATCTGCTTCAAGCGACATCACTTCCTTGCAGCGCTCCATGGCATCCTGCACATGTCACACATAAGGGTGTCAAGCAGCCAAACCAAACCTTATCATTTATTCTAGCCGATTGTGGATATGTTAGACAAACTAACATACTCACCACAAACCAACCAGCGAACAACATATAAAGTACTACTCCCTCCGTCCCATAATATAAGGGATTATGTCATTTTTTTGGTAAAAATTAAGGAAGTAATGCAATGACGTGATGGTACAAAAGGTGAGGTGAAAGAATAAAATAGTATAAAAGTTGGTAGATTGGGGAATAAACTAGTATAAAAGTGGATGGTGGAGAATAAAGTAGAGTGCATAAAAGTTGGTAGGTGGAGAATAAAGTATTGTCCCTGAATCCTAAAATCCCTTATGTTTTGGGATAAATTTGAAGGAGAAAATACCTTATATTATGAGATGGAGGGAGTACTACATAAGAATAATGTGTTCTAGAAGAATTGGAATATAATAGGCTTGACAATTAAGACAATTAAAAGGCCCCCTGTGCATTCAGATTAGCTACATGAAAAAACAAATACCTCCGTTGTTTCTGATTGTTGCAAGTAGTCACAAATATAGGAGCCAGCCAACCAAGGTATCAGAATTCTTCTAGGGAATGGGAAACTGTAAGGTACTCTGTATGCGAAAAGAAGGATGTAATCAGCTGCATACAATAGCAACATATCTGTTGTTCTATTGTAAATACAGGAAATCTTAATGCTTTAATTTAAATCATCAAGATATGTTCCATTGGACCATAACACCGAACAGGCCTGACTTCGTGAAAATGTAAGATATGGTTTGTGTACTTTGATTCACTACAAAATATAAATGTCTCATGGAAGATATGAAGTACCTCAACTCATGAAAAACAACTTGGGTGGCCTTCTGAGACAGTGAATTCTCCAAATTGTTAGTAGTAGAGTCATCATCTGCCTCATCTAGTATGATATCCAATCTGCTTCTCAGGCTTGTGATGATGTCCAACTGAATACGCACAGGTCGACAGACAGCACAAAGCATTAATTAATTTGCTGAACAGCGACGAGTGTTCGAGTAGTTCTATAAAACGATGCTTGGGACTAGAAATCAACCAATGCAAGGGAGATTCATGATATGAACCCTTTGGACATTATTCACTATTCAGTACCATATAAGGGAATCCCATCTTTAAAAAAATAATACGGCAGTGCCAAGTACCTCAGAATCAAAATTCCAGTAGCCATAAAGCTCCTTAACTCAAGACATATAGCTACATTACAGTCACAACTCAAGTTTCAGTATTTTTTTCCAGGATGAGATTCTTGAAATTCCCAATCCAGTGCTGAAATCCTAACTGAAGAGCCTGCTCACATTTTCACCACTAAATGCATTGCCACTTCCTTGATAATCAATCAGATTCAATCATAGAAGCTTAGCATGTGAAGGTGGTTATAAAGTTCTGGCTAGTCCATCATGGGAAAAAGTGACAAGGTGCAGTGATAAATAATGGAAATTAGTATATTATATCTACCTTTAGATCAGATATAACTTCTGCAATGGACTCTTTTGGGCCCAAGTATGCCAAGGCGCTGACAGATCCAGCAAAGAGAAGTAGCCCAGCAACACCCTCTAAACTGCATTCTTTAGTGCAAGCATTTACCATAAGGCTCCCATAATGACATAGAGAGAAACTGATCATCACATATAATAGGAAATAGCATTAGCTAGGGCACCTTCAGCCGGCAAATTGTTCTTGAAAGGCACAAGAAATTCAACGTTATGTGGCCCCTCCAAAGTGTTGTCCATGTCATCCAAAAACTAGTTGAAAATACATCATAACTATGAGAGGATGTCAAACACAAACAAAACTAGAGGACTCCAAAATTCTAAGAGATAATGCAAATTATTCTGACTCGTAGTATTTTTTTTTCACTTCTCCAGCTGAATAAGGGCTAAGAAGCTGTGTAAATACCAGGACTCCATCAATCAAAGCTTTGGCATTCTGCACTTGCTTCGTGAGATGACTGATTGCCTTTGAAATAACCTTCTTAAAAGGCTCAGCTTGAACAACTGGCAGTCTATGGCAGTATGCAATGCAAATTATCATCAGTCAGAATGCGACAGAAGGGATCTCATTGCAGTACAGGGAAATGTACTATTGCCAAATGCATGGATTAACTAAAGTGCATGTAACACATTAAAACTGATATGCATAGTTGATTTTTTATGTATCTTTAATGTTTGATAGTCCAGAACACTTCATCGAATGGTGTTTTTCTAGCTTTGTGACATAAAGTAGACAAGAATTGTTGGATCTAAGGATGTGTCAGAATTCGAAAAGCAGTACCTTATCTCAAAATTATATGTGCATCTGAAAGTTTGAAGAGAAGCTAATAGTTTAGTATACTTGAAGTCACATGGCCTTAAACGTCCTGAGCTCATATCACATATACGACAGGCCCACCTGTAACACATCAAAATTTTCATTTTGTGTTATGAGGTGTGCATGTAAGCATGTACTGACTGCAATTTATCCTAAAATATAATAGCTTAACTCAAAATGCAGTTGAGCAGGGCAGAATTTGAAGAGCAGCATCATCGGTTGGCATACGAAAGAAGGAGAATTGTAATACCAGAACCACCATAACACTGAACTACACTAAATTTTTTTCATTTATGTCAACTGATTTGGTGATGACCAGGCTCACCAAGTGATAAAGCTTGATTCAAGTGCTAAGCGGACAACTGACCCCATATAACTTACTTGGAGAAGAATACAAAGTACAATAAAATCATCAGGCGTTAGGCCCAACCAAGTTGGAGTAGGCTATAGACAGAACGCAAGCCGAACCACATGAACCAAAAGGAAAAAGGAAGAACTAAGAAAGTAGAAATGGTACTAGTTAAAAAAAAAGTGATTTTCTAGCTCATGGTTCTAGAACATGGACAGTTAAAGAAGGAACCAAAGTAATGTAGGAAAAAAAATAAGGGAGAATTGTATTTATACCCCCACTTTCAATCTCAATTGTGATTTTGCCCTTACTTTTTAGGGTTTGCAGATTTACCCCTGTTTTTTTCTAAACGAAGTCACCGTTTGCCCCTACTTTAAACGGTAGTTTGGTGGTCACACAATATCGAGTTAAAGAAATATAAATGAAAAGAGAAAAAATATTTAGGAAATATGGGATTCCCAATCTACCCTTGAGTAAATATGTTTGGTCAGATTTGTTCTTCCACACCAAGGAATCCCCAAACTCTAGGGGAGAAAGAGCAGGTGGCGGAGGCGGCTCCGGCGAGCCAGCTCGGCAACACGAGCAGCAGGCAGCAGCGGTGGCTCCTTAGCATGCCTCGACGCGAGCAGCAAGCCCTGGCAGCCGCTCCTCGGCAGTGTCATGAGAAGCAGGCGGCGGCGGCTCCTAAGCACACCTCGATGCGATGTGCTTCTAAGCGCACCTCGACGCGAGCAGCAAGGCGCGTTGGCGGCTTCACGAGCAGAAGGCAGCAGCGACATCTCCTCGACGCTAGCAGCAATTGGCAGTGGTGACTCGCAGCGACACGAGAAGCAGGCCACGGTGGCCGGTTGTCGACGCGTGCAGAGTAAGCCTCCTACTTCAGTCTTCCAGATGCTATTGGTTCTCTTTTTCTTCCAAACATACTTTCTTGTGTGCACATCTTGATTGATCTTAAGAACAAACAAACTATAATATTGATGTATGTATCAACTTGGTTTTGCAGTTAGAGAAGCATTTGGACAGGCAAATACAGCTTGGAGTGGAGCACATGAGCAGGATGTAGCAGCATCGCGAGACAACGAGAGATTAGTCAAGAAAATGTTGTGTACAAGTTAGTTCCAAGTTTCATGTACAAGGGGTAAAAACACAATTATTTGTTCAGAAGGGCGGGCAAATCTGCAATAGAAGCAAGGATATAAATGTCTTTTGGTACTCAACTTAACACCGTTAACCCAACCATCCAAAGTAGGGGCAAATCTATTCTTCGTTTCAAAGAAAACAAGGGTAAAAATGTAAACCCTAAAAAACGAGGGTAAAATCACAATTGAACTTCAAAATAGGGGTAAGAATGCAATAGCCCCAAAAAAATAAATAGTGGAGCACCTTCTTGGGCTGTAAGAAATATGAATGAGCAGTCTCTCATCAACACCAGTGCCATACAAAGGAGCAACCTGAGAAACAGCTCTAAGAACCTGGAAAATAGAAGAAGCAAATTATCCATTACATACAGGTCCATGCTGGTATCATTGGAAAAGAAGGGCGTGGATGCGAAAACAAAAGAAAACGGCATGACATAAAGATGCAACCTGACTCCCAAAACCCATAATATCAATGGAAGGAGAAGTTGGTACCTGTGATAAAACAGCAGGGGAAGTCGCTTTGAACGAAGCTTCTGACGCCCATATGTAAATACCTATGACGGTCATTCCTCCAAGAAGCATCCTCGAGACCTGTGCATTGATAGAAGATGATGTATTCAGATGTTTCCAAGAAAAAATAGGGGAAAGGGGGTCCGCATCTTACAAAATCGACCCACGTAAAGTAGGTATCATGAGTAAGATACTAAGGGGGTTCGCACCTTGCGATTGTAAAGTAGCACCCCAAGGTTTTGAGTTCAAATCTCTACATGAGCGAATTTTAGATTGGGTTATTTGAGGGCTAAGTTCCCTGTTTAATACGCTAAGTTCCTAATTTAAAAAGGCTACATATATCTGGTTGGGCGTAGAGGCCAGGGAAAAAATACCCTTCTCTAAAAAAATAAAAAAAAAAGGGGGTTCCGATTTGCAATACTATGGTGTTGTGATTGTTACAGGAGATAGTCAGATTTTGATATAGGAGAAAGACAATAAAAGGATGGCAGAGTTTTGGCATTGTGATACTACTTACAACTAGTAGTAGTAGCAAGGAACGTTAGTTGTTGTTACCTGGCGCGCGTGCTCGGCGACCCAGTCGACATCGAAGTCGAGCGACGAGGAGGCGTCGGAAGAGGCAGCTTTGGCGGCCTTGGGGTTGGGGGCCGCGCGGAGGAGGGAGCAAGCGGGAGCGCCGGAATCGGTGGGCGGCGTGGGGATGAGGGAGTAGGCAAGGGCACGGTCGGAAGAGGCGCTGAGCTTGCCGACGACGAGCCCCACCTGAGATTGTCAAGATCAAGATTAAGATCAAAATCGAATGAATCTGGCGATGGCTGCGGCTGCCGGCGATGAGAGAGTAGGGGTAAACCTGAGCTGGAGAGGCGGAGGCGGAGAGGGTTTCCTCCAATGCCTTGAGCTGCGCCTCCTCGCCGACCACTGTCTTCACCATCCTCTCCACAATCCAGATCCCACCTCTTCTCTTCTCTTCTCTTCTCTTCTGGGGAGGGGAAGGGTTGCCGGTGGGAAAGCGACGCCGCCGATGGGGGGAGCAGCGGAGAGGGAGGCCGTTGCGGCTCAGCGGAGGAGAGAAGAGCGAAAGGACACGTGTTCCGCTCTGTTTCTCTCGGCTCCGCTCTCTCGGGTCCACTTGGGCCGCATTAGCTTCATGGGCCGAGCATGTGGACACTAGGCTTGGACCGTACATTTTGTGCCGGAAAAAGTACACCGAAGGTCCCTCAACTTGTTATCGAGTTACAAAATCGTCCCTAAACCGTAAAACCAGATATATGGCATCCCTCAACTTACAAAAATCATTACTTTAGATCCTTCAATGGTTTTGACCCCTGTTTTATCCGACGTGGTGGTTGAGTCAGCGTGGGACCCACGTGAGCTCCACATGCTAGCGTGGCCACAGCAGCCTCCTCTCTCTTTTTCCCTCTTCTCTCCCTCATCTATCTCTCTCCCTTCTCTACGAGGCGGGAGAGCAGGAGGGCGTCTACGGCCGGCGACGGGCGACGCGGTGGCGGTGGGGGGAGGAGCGGTGGGGGAGGGGCGGCACGCGAGCGGTGGAGGAGCAGCACGTGGGCGGTGGGGAGATGAGCGGCGCACAGGCTCCCCCGCCGGCCGTTGCCCACGAGGCCCACGAGGCGGCAGCTAGGGGACGAGCTGCGAGCGGGCTCGACTTCGACGACAACAATGACGGCCACTGTCGTCGAACTCCTCTAGGTCTAACGGCGACGGCAACTTCGCTGGGTCTAAGCCGATGGTCACCGCCACCCAACTCCACTCCACCAGCCCCCACTCCTCTCCCCTAGCCACCATTCATCTGCCTCGTGGGCCTCGTGGGCGGCAGCAGGCCAGGGAGCCCGCGCGCCGCTCCTCGCCCCGCCGCCTACACGCTCCTCTGTAACAGCCCTAGGTTCATAACTAGGTATTTAGAAGTGCTTTTGTTGTCCTTTAGATTTCATATTTACTATATTGCAATTTGATCATAGGCGATGACAAAGTTAACTCTAATCGGTAAAATTGAAACCACTTCTATTTGAACAATAACTTGAACAGAAGTGTACATGTATAATAATTTATTAAAATACTAGTTTATTTATCATCAACAAATATAAATGTTGTGGAATTTTTACTCTCTGTTTTGGCCTCCTAAAAATTCAAACCAACTTTCAGCCTAACCAATTTCATCTTTTCACCAGAATTAAAATATTTCGAATTTTTTTAGTGAAACTTTGAAAAATGGAAACTAGGTGTCCAGGTCTATCTCCACACCAAAGGATAAAACTATATCACTATTATTTCTTGAACTAACTGAGTGTCATATTGGAAGATGTGTAAAATTGCTGAAAATTCCTGAAATCTGCCCAAATTCTTGTTCCACCTCTATTCCAGCCCTTACCTCTTATACCACCACGAGTTGGGCCCACTTGTCACTGACCTTGGGTGCCTTTTTAGCCCAAAACCCACCCTTGGGCGTTCTCCCCACCTCAGGACATAAGGTGAGCAGAAAACCCCTTCTTCTTCCTCCCCTTTCACTTCCCTTGCTTGTTCTTTCTTTTCCTCCTCAAGCTGAGCTCCCAACTCACTTCTCCTCCCCCAAATCCCATCAAAGAACCCAAACTCAAGCTCTGCATATTAGACCATAACAATCCCCATCATCTAAGCTTTTCATCCATCCCAACATCTTGCACATGCATGGAGAGTTGAGAGAGATCGAGAAGGAAGAAGAGAGTGGTGGTTTCAACCTGCAGGGCTGCAGCAGCAGCATTTTGTTTTCCTCCATTTGGTGAGCTTCCTTTTCATCCATGGTGCCTCTTTTGAATTCCCTCCATATTGAACATCTATAGCAACGTTCTATAGGTTGTCCACTCCATTGCTGCAGCTAGAAGGTGGCTGTAACTCACCCCGAGTTCATCTCTTTTGATTTCGGTTGAAGAAGCCCTAGGCAGCGTCTCTTGCCGTCAGCCCAAGACCTTGCTCCATCTCTTGCCATCAGCCCGAGACCTTAGCCTCGCACGACCCTATGTCCAGGTTGCTGCGATGTGAGCGAAGTCCAGTGGAAGTTGGAGAAAAGGGGAGTGAAAATAGAAATCGATTTCTGAGATAGCTTTTGAGCTGAAAGAGGTACGCGCTTTAAAAATTCATAACTAATTCATATGAACTCTGAATTCAGTGAACCAAATTTCTGTGGATTAAGAAAAACGTGATCTTCAATGTTGTAAAATAAAAATGACCAACTTTTGTACTGGTTTTCCCACTAAAAATATAAATAGCTATATGTATCCCTTATGTGGTCTAGCTCTTAATAAATTCGTAAGAAATTATTGGTAAAAGCTAAAATTGTGAAACTAATTTTGTTGAGCTTATATTTTAGTACTCTTTGCTGTTGTGTGTTGTTTTTGGCAAAACTACCTCTTAAATCATGTTTAGGAGTTTATTTAGCATTCCTATGTTTTTAACTTGTAAAATCCATAAATAAATAATGACAACACATATAGCTGTGAAATAATTTTTCTTAGGACCTGTGAGTGATGTACTTTATTCTAAGAATAATCATTATTATGAAAACTTGGTTTGTGTTGCAAGTTGCCTGTAATGCTCTAAAGAAAACATTAATATTTACAGAACTGCCATTTTCAGCACCTGAAAGCTTGTCATTTTCATATCTCCCAAACTATAAGTGATAATCTAGTGATTCTTTCACCTAAATTCAAGTTAACATGTGCTCTACCCACTATATTTATTTCATAATTTATTGATCATTTTGCATGTGCATGTTTATTTGGCTCTTATTCGCACATTGCTTCTTTTCGATAGATTCGGAGTTTCCGGAGAGTAACGAGCCATATCCCGAGGAGGATAGTGGCTACCCTCAGCAACAAGGCAAGCACCTAAGCATATAGAACCTATGTTTTCTCTAAAAAATGATTTGGTTGCAATCTATACGTGTATATATATATATATATATATATATATATATATATATGCATGCATGCATTGCCTAGATATTAATATTGTCGGTTTATGGTGTACGGGTAGAACCTATTTATGCATTTAGTTCTTGTGATATTGCTCTCCTTATACCCTATTACCACTGGTTGGGATTACTTGGGATGTCTTATTCATTAATGCTTAGCCATGCTTAGTGCTAATAGAACTATAGGGATGGACAATGCTATTAATTGTGGTATATAGAAAACATGTATTATTGGGTATAAAACTTGAGCACTTACACTAAATAATGGTTGATGAAATATGTTGGACTTGGACGGGTGATAGGGCGATGATGGGAGGTGGGTTTCCCCTGATGCAAGTAGCCCCGTCTAGGTCGTTAAGGACCGAACATTTTGACATCTATTCAAGTACCCTTTGTACTTACCACATGCCTTATTTGGGACCGGCTTGTCCTTTACTAGTTCTACTGTGATCATTTATACCACGTTGGAGAAACGTGAGGGCAGGTAGCCCTTTGGAGGGCCTCGGGTGCCTATGTTGGCCGGGGGTGCCTCCCGCGTGGCGTGCCCGCCTTTGTCACACCACACACGCACGTGATTGAGTCGTCGGGAACCCCGGCGTGGTATAGGTGGTTGGGGTGGGATTAGGAAAGGCATGTAATGAGCTTGTATCACTTGCGTAACGCACTTGACGGGGTGTGTAGCTTTTGATCCTTGTTCATTTTGTGTGGGTCCAGTTGTACACCTCTGATCAGAGTATAATCTATTCGAATAGCCGCGTCCTCGGTTATGGACATTGCTTAATGTGTATCTCACTCATGTTAGCATCAAATATAGATTATTATGGATGGGATTATGTTTGATGGTGGTGTTGGCATGTTGTGCCATGTTGGTACGGACTTTGGTAGTCTATGGTTGATGATGAGAGAGCCGTTTGGGCTCATTTGCTTGTACATTTCAGAATTATATTCTTGCTGTCCATAAATTAAAATGATGCTAGATTTACTTGTCCTTACTTATTTTACTCATTAATTGCTCAATAAAATTAGCTTTATGCAAATGTTAAACCTAGAGACCCACTATAGGCTAGAAAGCTTGCATACTTCTCTCTCCCTTATGTATATATAATTTTGGGTAAGACTTGCGAGTACAATCTTGTACTTAACCCGGTGTCTGCAATTTCAGGAGAGGATTCCGGTTATGAGTTATGTTTCTTATGTGGTCATTGCTCTGCCGAGGGCGGCGAGGGCAATGAGTGATCCCTTGCAGCTTGGCTCTTGCCCGGTTGGTTTGCCCTAGTGGGGTTGTGGTACCACCGGCTTTATCTTTTGCTTATGAACTCTATTTGAGACTTCCGCTGCTATATTTATGTGTTGTATGTTGGGACCTCGGACCCTATTATGTGTCATGTACCTCGCTGCACTTTAACACTATTATGGTACTTGCTATGTTTATTAATTGCTTGCGATGAAAGTGTGAGGCTAGTCGCATTCCTGGGGACTAGCTAAGCATGAGTAACGGGTTTTGACTGCTTAAGATAATTGGGGATAGCGCTTTGGATCGAGTCACTGGGGTATGCTTTTGGTCGCCACCTTCGAGTGGTTGACGGGCATATGACGTGGTGGACTGGCAAGCTATCTTACGGTTATGTCTTGCGCTCACTACTCGACATTTCGGTTATTATAACAGAAGGTTGTCAACCGTGATCATGGACACATTGAGGACGAGTGGCTATTTATGCTTGTATGGATCCCACTTCTCCAATAGTATGTGGTGGTCGCGTTGGACACTGGATGGTATAATACTCGGGGTGTCCACAGCGGTTGGTATTAGAGCAATGCCGACTGTAGGCTAGAGCTAAGTTGGCAATTTGAAAATGATTTGCAAAATATTCAACTTGAGTCGATTGTGAAAATCTTAGTATGTGTGAATCCTTTTTACTCCTCATCTCATTCTAGTGTTCTTTCTCACCTTATTCTCAGATTTTCCACTCATCTTGGTCTAATTTGGTTGACAAAATAAATTTATTACTTCCCCCATTCGAATATTAGACTGATAATGTTGAGGGAATTAAACTTTAATTCTCAGTTTGTAAGTACAATTAAAATGTGCAATAGTCACTCTAAAATGGTGCCTTGCTGTTCCTCATGTTGCTCTTAGTCTCCCAAAATTTTTTGACAAATTATGAACATGTTTTAAACCTCCAAAATGTCAAATAGCCAAATCTGGAATTTCTGCAACAGTCTGTAATCAAATAATTCTCCAGGACAAACTACTCACTATTTTGCTCGCAAAATCTTTCTGAGCTGGGCAACTACTCCAGGAACAACCACAAAAATGTTCAGAATTTTATCACTTCTGTAGCCCTCTCTAAAAATTCGTAAAGTGGCTGCTGTTTGGCAACCTAAGAAATTTCAGAACCTTGTTTTGGAAGAAGTAAAATATACCAACGTAAAAATTTGACCAAATAGATTGCAAAAGTGTACTCCTAGCTGAGAGACGCTCGATAGAAATGTGTCATATAGCAGTAGCGGCCAAGTTGCAGTGTTGGTTTATTTGAATTTTCATGTTCCGGCGATTGATACGCTTTTGGCCCGCTATGTTGATCGCAATTGGAAAACTATTTTGGTTTATTGCTTCTTGTTCGAGCTTTAGTATAGGATGAGCATGATTGATTCTTAATGCTTCTTATTTGGTTGCCTCATATCATGCTAACATAACTTGTCGCATTTGTATATAATTGAATTGTGCATTTTTATTGTGCATTGAAATTAATTATGCAAACATGGACTTAGCTTCGCATGCATTTATATTGTGCATTCATATTAAGTCGGTAACCTAAACTTAATATTAAGTCGGTAACCTAAACTTAGTTTATTATGTACGATGCGTGCTAACTTTCAGGCCATTATCAATCCTTAGTTGCAACCATCACTAATTATGTTTAATCTCATATCCATAGGATGACTCGTCCCAGCACTCGCTCTCAATCCCATGATGCTCCGGAGGGTTCCCGAAGCCGTGGTGATGAACCGCCACCTCCTCCTACCATGGCTGAGGTTCTTATGGCCGTGGAGCGCAACCGTGAGGCTCAAAACGCCGTCCTTCAGCAAATCGCAGCAAGTGTAGCCGCTACCGCTGCCCACATTGCCCAAGGTGCGGGCGGTGGTGGACACCATGCCACCGGGGGACTCGCTGAATTTCAGCGTACTCAACCTCCGGTGTTCACTCGCTCCGATGATCCACTTGATGCTGATGATTGGCTTCGCACCATCGAGCGGAAGCTCACATCCTCCCCCTACCGCCCGCCCGCAGCTCCTCCCCCTACCGCCGCCGCGTCATCCATCGCCGACTGCCGACGCCCTCCTCCTCTCCCGCCTTGCACTGTCGGCCTCGCAGAGAAGGGAAAGAGCGAGAGAGATGAGGAAGGGAGAGAAGAGGGGAAAAGAGAGAGGAGGCTGATGTGGCCATGCTGATATTTTGGTCCCACGTTGACTCAGCGACCACGTTAGATAAAACCGGGGTCAAAACCACCGAAGAATCTGAAGAGAACGGTTTTATAAGTCAAGTGATGTCATATATATCTGGTTTTACAGTTGGGGGACGATTTTGTAACTCGATGACAAGTTGAGGGACCGAATAATTTTTCCTTTTGTGCCAGGCTTCGGCTTTTAGACGGGCTGCACCGCATGCAAGCTACCGGACCAAATAAGTTTTCTGTTGTTTTCCCGGCCTATTTAAATATATTCGATTACATAATCAGTTTTTACACCTTTGGATGATTTAAATTTTGTGAGAAAAATAAGATGAATATTACTCATGCATATTATATTATTTCTAGATTAGTGGAACTGAATTTAGTTTGATTAATGTTGATCGTGTTAGTAATCGTGATGTTTATTCCTTTCTCATTTCTCCTCGGGGTGATTTGAATTAGGATTTTATTATTATTCATGACTGTTTCCTTTACCATTTTCTGACTAATTTTGATATTGTTAAGTATTTTCATTCCTATCATTACGGTGTTTGTTTCTTGATTGCGTCTGTCAAGCGGTGATGTGGTTTAGGACTTTACTGTACTGGCGATTATCTCTGTTGTCATATAGATAACCACGTCACGTCGAAAGTCGTAGTTCTCTCAACAGTAGTTGGAAGTAAATACAATTGTATTGTTTAGTAAAAAATTTTTGGATCCCCTTTTTACATTGCCCTAGGGGGCTACTTATAGCCCTATTATAGACTCTCCCATTTTAGGGTCTGGGGTTTACAGGGAAATTTACATAGTTACCCTTATAATAGGGACATCTTTATGGGTACACACAGTGTCTTTTGCTTATATAGGCTCTTAATGGGCCAAATATTTCGGCCCAACCCTTGGCGAAGCCTTCGGAAGGTGTGTTGGCCCGCTAGGCTTCCTTCTGGTGAGATCTGATGCCTAGAGAAACCCGTCCCTATCGTGGCAAGGCTTTCGCCCTAGACCTTCGACCGTGTCTTCTCATGGCTAGTCTGTCTTTGGCGAGGCTCTTAATCTCCACGCCACGGCTTTCGCCATGTGGCTTTCGCCCATGCCGTCTCTTCGATCTTCGCTGATTATCTCCGGTTCGTGCCTTTGATCGTCTCTAATTTTGGTAGGCCCGGCCGAAGGTCCTCGTGATACACCTCCAATAATTTCATTTCATTTTTCAATAGAAATTTGTTGCATATACCTTAATATTAATATACACATAATGTCTTACCTCACAAACCTTTTTCAATAGAAATAAACTTGCCGAAATTAGATTTTTTTTTTTGAAGTATGGCCTTGCAATAAGATCTACTGATTAGAGTCCACACGCCATCTGTCGTCCGCGCGTGGCAAGACTCTACTCCACGCTAATCCATGTACGATTTTGAAAGTAAGATCGTGTGCTTGCCATGAGGGTTGAGAGA